ATATATATATATATATATATAGCAGGTTAGAGCAATGGCCTGAATCTAACAAGATGAAATTAAACTGGACTTGGATTCACCAACCCACACATGCTCATTCAGGGAAGAGAAGTCCCTGTAGAAAAGGCAGTTAGTTGGCTTAACAGCCCCATGTGTGGAGAAAAAGACATGTAGTGAACGTAAGCTCAGTATGCGTCAGTGTTTGATGGGGCCACTAGAGAAGTGACCGTGAACTTGGCCCATATTAATTGAATTGTGGGAGATGAAAATTAGAAGTGACAGTGATCCAGGCTACCCCATGCCTCTCAATTCCATCACTGGGACAACTTCCCAAAAGGTCCCCTTCATCCCCGCCTGCCCTAGGCCAACCCATCCTCTTATCGACTGTCACTGGGTTGATTGTGTTAAAATTCTAACTAGCGCTGGTACTCTCTGCTTGAACCAGTGGAGTGGTTTCCTTTTGCGTTTAGCATTACATCCAAGCTCTGGGACAAGGTTCACAAGGTCCCCTGTTATCCTCTCCAGATTGCTCTCTTGCATCTACCTGGCCGCCCCCGCCCTAAATCCCCGCCATGCTGAACTTCTTCCAGCATCCCGACATGCTATGGTCTCTCACTTCCAGCCTGAGCAGCCATCTTTCCCCTGCTCAGAGCACTCCTCTCTTTCCCCAGTACTCTTCGTACCCTCAACATACATGTGCACTGACTAAGTCTCTCTCCAGGAATTATCTTCAGCAGAAAGAAGCTGCCTCACACAAAGTGATATCCCCTCCCCAAGACAGTCCATATCCAGGCTGTAGGACCCAGCCCCCTTGCCTCAATTTAAGACATCCCCACAAAGGCGGTCCCGGCTTCAGCTCTCCACAGGATCGGCTATTGCCACTTGGCAATCGCAGTACAGTTCAACTTGTCTCTCAGCCCAGTCCTGCCTCCCTCTCACCTTTCAACACACTCCTGCATGTAAAGCTCCCGGGTACAAATCTCTCTCCCAGGAGTTTTGCATCAGGGAAACTTTGATTACAATAGCCTTTAAGCTATACGTTTACAGCCTCCCACAACAACTTTCTAAAGCAGTTTAAAAATGGGTCACATGGAGAAAGAATGGGATTGGTTTCACATGGCACTGCAGGGTAAACCTGAACTGATGGTCCAGAGCCAGGTGGTCCAAGTTCATAGCTATAAGCCACACTGAGCATTAAGCGGCAAGCCTGAATTGAGATATGCTGTAAGTGTAAACGACACACTGGATTTCAAAGGTTTAGCACCAAGAATGAAGGATGGATCATTGACAAATTTGATATTGCTTGCATGCTGAAATAAAAGTATTTTAGATATTTTGGATTAAATAAAATATTAAAATTAACTTCACCCATTTCTTTTGACCTTTTTAATGTGAGTACTAATGTAAGTTATATATGCGACTCTTACTGTAATTCCATTGGACAGTACTGTTCTAGACAGAGACAGAGATTCAGGTTCAATATAGTTTACTAGCAACAAGAGTGTGTCCAGAGTAACTGAGCTGCCTCAGTGGGTTTGGCAGGTTTCTCCAGGATTGATAAATTTTCTAGCAGAGGATGGCTGAAGACTTGGTAGGGAGGATACACATGAAATTCGAGATCTGCATAGGCATGTATAGAGTTACCATATGGTCCAGCCATCCCACTCCTAGGCATAGATCCAGAAAAGATCAAAACTCTAATTTGAAAAGAGCACGCACCCCAATGTTCATTGCAGCACTATTACAACAGTGAAAACATGGAAGCAACCTAAATGTCCACTGACGGATGAATAGATAAAGAAGATGTGGTGTATATATACAATGGAATACTACTCAGCCATAAAAAAGAATGGACTAATGCCATTTGCAGCAATATGGATGGAACTCGAGATTATCATACAAAGTGAAGTAAGTCAGACAGAGAAAGATAAATATCGTATGATATCACTTATATGTGGAATCTAAAAAAATAACACAAATGAACTTATTTACAAAAGAGAAACAGACTCACAGACATAGAAAACAAACCTATGGTTACCAAAGGGGAAAGTGGGGGGGAGGGATACATTAGGAGTTTGGGATTAACAGATACATACTATTAAGTATGAAAGACATAAACAACAAGGTTGCACTGTACAGCACAGGAAACTATATTCAATACCTTGTAATGACCTATAATGGAAAAGAATCTGAAAAAGAATCTATCTATCTATCTATCTATCTATATATCTGAATCACTTTGCTGTATAACTTAAACTAACAGAACAATGTAAATCAACTACAAAAAACTATAATTAAAAAAAAAAGATCGGCATGGACATTTAAACTACATGAACTTTAAGATTCCCTCAAACCCTGGGTTGAGCTTTCATGAAAACACTTAGAAGGAAGCTGAGAGACAGAAGCATAGAAAATAGGTTGTTATTTAGTTTCTAGGACGGACTCCTTAGAGTTGAATCCTTACTAGTCTTGCTTATAGATTATAGTTTAAAACAATCAAGATTCAAATTGCATGATTCCTTGTGATCTTTTCAGGGGAATCATGTCAAGGTCTCTGGGAAGTGAATTAAAAAGTGCATTCATTTTCAGCCAGGTGTCCATGACCAAAAACCAGAGCCTTCTGAGTTATGTGCAGTGATGACAGCCTATCTCATCTGGTTCCCGACTCCCCTTATCCCAATAGCCACGTTTTGCTTTTACTTTGTCCTAGTTTCCGAAGTTTTCTCTTACTCACCGTTTTTCAAATTATTGGCATGTTTTCACATGACACTGTTGAAAGAAACCAACAAGTCCAAAATAACCTTGTGTTCCTGTGAGACTTTCATACAAATAAGTTAGTAAAATGTAGTTGACTCGTGTTTAGTTCTGAAGTAGCTGTCTTTAAAGGTTATCATCCCCTTTCACATTCAATGTTTTGGGATGCTTAAAGCACTTTGGACTTTTCTTTAAGATTTAAAAGAATGATGCATTGGTGGATGTGTTACAAAATTATAGCACAGAGGGCTCTGGAATCTCACTGCTTCTATCACTGTTACCTGTGTGACCTTGAGAAAATTACTAGACATTTTGCTGTGTCCATTTTGTAATTGTAAAAAAGAAAGGGATACTAACCACACATGATAGGAGTATTGGGAGGATTAAATGAGTTGATACATATAAAAGGCTTACAACATTGCTTGGTCAATAAATATTAGCTGCTATTGTTATTTTTATTATTACTATTACTATTTCACTAGTGCTATCATTACCTTCCATTCCAGGGAGGGGATTCTCGTCCTGTAAAATGCATTTACATTTGTTGCTATCCCACAGCATGTCAACAGGACAGAGTTTCTTGGAATGGGAACAGCTAGGAAAAGAAAACAATAAATCAGATTTTAAAGCTTTCAAGGGTCATCAGACCTTTGGAACATTTGTTTAAATAATGAGTACATTTCCAAGGGGAGAAGAGTTAAGAGTCATTTTACAATGTTGTATCAATTTCCAGTGTAGAGCACAATTTTTCAGTTATACGTGAACATACATATATTCATTGTCGCATTTTTTTCGCTGTGAGCTACCACAAGATCTTGTTAAGATTTTTAAGGAGCTTAAATTCATATTTATGAACTGCATGCTATTAGGTAGTAATTCTGTAATTACAAATATTCTCTGTGGAAACCTCTGGAAACTAAACTGTCATTTTGGCAAGTTACCGTCTTTTTAAGAAGATTGGTGTTAAAACTATGCAAATTAGCTGTCAACAGAGCTTATTTTACCAAAAGTAAATAGTGTTCTAACATAGCTCCTAAGCCTTATCTTCTTTAAAATGGAGGTAAGAACATTGACCAGGACAGCAGGAACGTCTTGAGGATAAACGTTCTTTTTATCTGTTTCCTTTTCTGCTTGAGAAAGGCAGAGGGGTCTTCTTGGCTCCGTGTTAACAAACATATAACCACCAGCTCATCCTTCACTTGCTACTCACACAGAGTGTTCACTCCTTTACTTTTGCAAGACCTAAGTATCCAACTTAGTTACTTTATATTTTTATTCAGTGGTTATAATTTGCCCTTTGTTCTCTATATTAAATGCTTCCCCCCACCACCAAATGAATCACTTACTTTGCTTTTAGAACACTTTTGGGGGTCATAATTTGTCTCATGAAGAATCACAAAATCCTCACAAGAAGATGTCCAAGTCCAAATTAATTTTAAGTCATTTTCACTTAGAATAAGATTTCCCATTTGGTAATCTTAAGCAGAAGGGTTAAAAAATTGCCAAAATCGGATGCAGGGAGTTTTGTCACTCCCCAGAGACTCCAGGAATGTTTTTTCCCTCCTAGTTTTGGGACTTAAATTTATAAACAGCCTGAAATGAATTTAATCTAATGCTTGCTCTGGAATATGCAAAACTGGAGACTGGAGTAGAGTTTTACAACCACATTAGACTATGCACATTAATAAGAACAAAAGTGCTCACAAGTTGACATTCTGAGTTCATAACCACTGAGCTTTTGGGTCTTACTGCAATATACATGTAACACCTAATTAAAAAAAAGAATAGAGATATATATTTGCCAAACAGTTACCTGTAGATCTGAGTTAGAAGCTAACAGAAGAAGAGCTTGAAGAGAGTGTGATGACTCTATAATTAATGAAGTATTCTCCACACACACTTTAGCAGTGGCAAGAACAAGCATAATGAAGTATAAGAAATGTTTACCGATCTTCTTCTGGGATCTGGATGGATCTTCTGATAATTGAATACGGATGGCGGGGAGCCGTGGACAAGCACTTACAACCTGTATGGTTGGCAACTTTGACAGGCACTAATTCAGGTACTGATGTCAAAGGCACTGATATCTGAAAGAGCTATAGTAGAGAAAGATAACTATGATACACATTTTTAAAAAAATGTCTACTGTCTGCATTTTTGCCTTTATCTTATGGTGGTGATTTTAGCAAACTTGTCCATTAAGAATAGAAGTAGTAAGGATAAGGGCTGGCATGATGGAAAGAATGCTGGGCTGGGAGTCAGAAGACTGGGATCTTATCCAACTTTATCAGGTATTTAACTTTGGTCAAATCTCCTAACTTTTTGGTGTCCCTGGTACCCTTGTAAAATAGTCCCTGCTCCTGCTTTAAAGTTGTAAGGATTAAATGAAATTCTAGCTGTGAAGTTTCTTTGAGACCATGGTAATAGGTTATTGTTAAAAAATATTTACTTATCCCTTCCCACGCCGCCTCCATTGAATGAATACAGTTTCCTGTTCCTTGACTTTGGACTTGGCCATGTGACTTGCTTTGGTTGACAGGACATTAGCAGACACGACACAAGCACAAACTTGAAATTGTGCATGTGTTCTGGGGCTTGTTTTCTCATGCTCTCTTTCTCATGAGAAGAGCATGATCTGGCAGGCTTGCTGGTCCAAGGGATGAGAGACACAGGGACCAGAACTAGATTCAACCTGCAACCTTGTGTCCAGCCCACTCTGAACTAACTGAATCTCAGATACATAAATGAGAATAAGTTATCATTGTTTGAAGCCACTAAGTTTTAGGGTGTTTTTTATGCAGCATTACATAGTAATCACTGACTGAAACAAGATCATCACGCCCAAACAAATAATTACAGGTAACATCAATATCATTTTTTCTATGTTTCTACATGCCAGCCCCTGTTGTAAGCACTTTTATATTAATTCATTTACTCTTTATAACAACATTAGAGGGTGGGTTTTTTAAATTACCCTCCCCTCACTCAACAGGTGAAGAAATAGATGTACAGAGAGGTTATATAACTTGTCTAAAGCCAAAGAACTCCTGATTGGAAGAGTGGGGATTTGAGCCCAGTCAGTCTACTCTAGAGCCAGAGGGGATACTCTTAAGAATATTTCTTACTACTTTTGAGAATGAAATTACTGTGACCAGAAGAAGCGAGATGGGATCTCATCAAGTAGAATTTAGAGAAATATCAATTACTTTGTTCTCAGAGTGGGTTCTCTGATACATGGATGAATTTGAACTTGATTTTAATATTCTGTCCATTCAATCACCATTCCATGCAGTCCTTACTACACAGAGTATTCATTTATTCACTTAGTTTCTAAGAGATATTTCACCGAATAGTCTATAACTTTGGGTTGAGAGGTAGTTTAAAAAAAAACTACTATTAAAATGTTCAGATATGCATATTTGAAAAGAAAAACTGCTGTGTACTTCCACTTGAGCACATTCTTTAAAACTACTCATTTGTTGAATACAGCAGTCAAAATAAAGTACTCAACTATCTATTAAGTGGAAACAATCCATTAAAGTTGTGTTTATCCTGACCTTTCGCTGTGTAATGGAACTTCTGTGAGTCTAAGAGAGTGTTTTTCAACTGTTTATTTTGCATGAATTTCATCTTCTTGCGAAATTTTTCAGCTGCACTCTAGGGTATAACATGGCCATGAACTAAAGCCTCCTACGTTATGCAAGCTTTGTTTCTACTGACAGTTGATGCTTAGCCATACTTATGTCATTTTTTTCTTCCTGATTGTCAAATAGAAGTCAGAATTTGTACATGTTCCAAGGTTCTTGAAAAGAATTTAGAAAAGAAACTCTACAGTTTAAGGGATATTTTAAGGGCTACTAGAAGGGAAAAATTAAGGATAAGTTGACCTGTTACCAAACAAACCAGCATTCCATTCTTTCTGTCCAATTAAGATAATTACCTAACATGAATATATTCAATGCATACGTAATTTTACTGTAATATCTCTTTTCATAATCATGCGAAAAGACTGTCTAGGCAAATGTGGCAATTACATGAATATGTCAACATGCATGAGGAATTTGCAACACAGAACCAATGGAAATGTAGTTTGACTTACTCTTTTTAAATGTTTTCCTAAGATTGTTATTACTGCCCTACTATGCAACATTTATCACATTTAACAACAATATGGTAGTGATAGAAAGAAAAACTTCCTATTGAGCAAAAGGGATTTTATAAGATGGAGTGGGAAGAATCATTTCTTTCTTTTTTTTCAGTGGGGGAGGTAATCAGGTTCATTTATTTGTTTATTTTCAGTGGAGGTATTGAACCCAGGACCTCCTGCATGCAAAGCAGACGCTCTACCACTGAGCTACACCCTCCCCCTGGGAAGAATCATTTCTTTCACAGGGACTGGAGGATTATTTTCAAAGGTCTTTTGAGCTGGATATTCTCCATTTGCCTCTCCCGAGACACCATCCTCTCTCCTTCCTTCCCCACTGGCATGCTGACCTCTATGGACCTGATCTAGGGGCACCCTTATCTCCCACCCCCACCCCTCTTGGGCTAAAGGTTGGCATTGGCTGCCACTCCTCCAGCCCACCCATTAGCCCTCTTCTCCACTTTCTCTCTGAGCTCCCATAACGGCTCCATCCTCTTGCCTCTTCAGTCTAAGGGTGGGAACAGCTTCCCCTTTCTGCCAGCCCTGGGTACTTCACCAGGCCTCCCTCCTTCCCCAACCCTGCCCACAGCCTTCATTAAAGTCTCCTCAGTCACTCCATTTGAACAACACCGAACCTAATGAATACATAAGACTTTGGTTGTCTTCGTTCCTTTTAATGTCTGTTCCAGTAACTCCCATAGGATTTTCTGATTCTTGACATTATAGCATCAGACAGACAGTAACTGACAAGGGTTCAGTAACTGGCAAGGGTTCAGGTTCTTCTTCCGTTGGTGACTAACACTGTATCCTGTAACTTACCGAACAAACCTGGATTTGAAGCACAGCTCTGCCACAAGTTACCTCTCTGAGCTTCCATTTCCTCAACTATAAAGGAAGATAAAAAGCTGCCCTTTCAGCTTGTTTCTGGGTTGAATGAGATAACACACCTCAAGCATTTAGACAGCACTTGGCTGGAAGCTGAGCTGTGGCTGTCAACACAATCAGCATCAGGGCTCCAGAGAGGGTGCGCAGGCTGATGTCCGCATACCTGTTTGGAAACGTACGAGGTGCTCGTGTTCACACAGGCGAGGCTCTCTTCATTGCAGCAGCCGCCACACCGGAACACATTCACACAGGGAGGCTTGAAGAACGTGTCGGTGCTCCTGCCCAGCTCGCTGGCCACCTCCACGCACGTCTCTCGAGGGCTGCACTGCGTCCTCTGCCATTCCTCATCTATAACTGCGGAGAGGCAGCTGGCTGAGCCCGCAGAAGAAATGGCCCTGACATGCCAACGTGGGCCAGAATTATGCTGAACATAGTCATTCTGGCATGTGTAGTGCTTATTTTACTAGATGGGTATTTTGGGTTAGTTTTTTACCCAGAGATTGCTTTCAGAAAAATTACAACCGAAATCTGTGTTCCTTCCCATTTATATAACACCTTTGTAGATTATAATTCTATTTTCCATTAGTGATGAACATCACGTCCTATATATAACTATGCTGGGTATATCTCGAGGAGCTGGCTAATAAGGAAGTGAAAAGATGCATGGAAAGAAATAACATGTAAGCAGTATTTATTAAGCAATTTATAAGACACAGCTGGATAGCATGTCTTCTACTTGAAGCCAGGTTTGGGTAGCTTTCAGCACCATCAAGAAATACATTACGGTTGGTTGCTTAAGTAAGTATAGGAGGATTCGAACCTGGCAGAAACATGAATGAAAATTTCAGTGGAACTAATCTTTCCTCAAGTCAGAGTGTTCTCATTTGCAAACACCCAATACCTATGTTTAAATAAAACAATGAAATAAGCCGGCTCATTTTAATGAAAGGAGTGATATTCTGGCCATTCTGGCTAATTTGTGGGAAACAAGAAAAAGAAACCAACCTCTGGGAATCAAAAGAAGATTACATATATTCTTGTAAAACAGTACTTGCTTTTCTTTCATAGTTTATTTTTTAAATTAGATTTTGATACTTTGATGCTTAATGTTGTTTAGCCTTTCTATGGATGTTTTTGGGAAATGATTCGATTTTATGATAAAGATGACATTTAAAGACTTAGTTTGCTATGGAACTGTAGAGTTTATTATATGTTGAAAACCAGCTGTGACTGGCAGCTTGTAAACTCATCATCCAAGATGCCCACCTCCTGGTGTTCACACCCTTGTGTAACCCCCTCCTGTGTGTGTGGGCTGGACCTAGTGACCCAATTCTTGTAAGAAAATACAGGAAGAGTGATGGGATGTCACTGCTGTGATTACATTAAGAAAAACTCTGACTTCCATCTTGCTAGCAGTCTCCATCTCTTGCTGGCACTCTCTCTTGCCTTCTCAGCTTGCAGGCTTTGATGAAGCTAACTGCCATGTTGGAAAGGTCCCCATGGTAGGAGGGTGGCCTCTATCCAACAACCAGTGAGGAACTGGGACCCTCAGTCAGCTGCAAGGAGCTGAATCCAGCCAGTAACCTCTGAATCAACTTGGAAGCATATCCCTCTCCAATCGAACCTTGAGATGCTGCCTGTGGCCCAAGCTGACACCTTGACTACAGCCTCCGGGGAGACTCTGAAGGAGAGATACTGATCTAGGCCATGGCTGCACTTCTGACCCACAGAAACTGTGAGATAAAAATGTTGTCTGAAGCAGCTAAGTTTTGGGGTATTGTGTTACACAGTGATTAGATAAACTCTGCTCCATTTTTATGCCATCTTCAAAAGTTTGTAATCGGTCTCTGCCCAGATTCTGAATCTCCATATATGGGAGCATGTTTCTACTAGAAAGGACAGAGATAAAATATTATTGCTGCAGATCTGATGCTAGTCTCTAAATTATTCCCTTAAAATATCTTTTCCATATCCTTTCTCCTTTTCCCCTACTCTTAATCTCAAATTTCCTCATATGTTGCTTCTTCGATTACTAAAAACACAAAATGTAAGGTGTTTAGCTGGCTGCAAAGCACTGCAAACACTACACAACTTACCTAAATTTTGCTTTTTCATAATAAAATCTTCTGTCCTAAGAAATCATTGAAAATATCTGGTTATGAATATTTACATAAAGAGCTGAAGGTTGTAAACATGAGATAAAGTACCCATTAGGTATTAACATGGGTATTACTTAATTCACTATTATTAATCATAAATTCTTGACAAAACAAGTAGTCAACTTATAAAGACATTCTTTGTTTAAAATTCTACTTAAATGTTGCTTTCTATTTACTTTTTTATAAAACTAAGTTTTGAAAGTTGTAGCGATAAGATTTTAATCAACCCTGTGGAATTATGACCAATGTCACTGATTAAAGGCTTCCTAACTCTGTTTTCTTTACTATTGCCCAGCAGGAGTGCCCCGCCTCAGGGAGCAACCCTGAAATCCACGAGGGAAAGTTGATAACAAGTTGTAAGTGGGATAACACACTGATTTGATAATTTACTGCTTCTAACCTAGTAAATACTTTAAAGGATCCCCCATGTAATAAGAGAAAATTTAGAGTTGGCAAATTCCATATTTTTAATGTTTTTAAAAAATATTTAAACACTTTTTTTTATGGTTTCCTCCTTAGAAAATGTCAATTTCAACATCAATGACTTTTTTGTTTTGATCATCCTGTCTCCATCTTCTCAGAGTATCTCCAGGCTGGCCTCAGGCCCTCAGACACGTAACGTGGTTAAGGCCCTGAGTCTCAAGATGAGTTCTGATCACTTTACTTCCATGAAGTCCATGCTTATTCACCATGCAGAAACTACAGCTTCGCTAGAGCTTTAAACCTCTGGCTAAACTGGGTTCTAGGCGTGGTTCCAACCATCTCAACTCATTTAGACACACAGTCACACACACGGACACCAAGCATCCTCCTCACAGCCCTGCCCCAGGGCTGCCGAGGGTCTGATCCTGCCTGTGCACAGACTTCCCCACAGCCAGCAACAGTGGCTCGTGCAACAACATGGTCTTTTTTACATATGGAAAAAAATAAATATAATTCTATAGGGAAAGAAAAGAGTAATTTTGGCTTAGCAGTCAATTTGAATTATTCAACAGACACAATCTGTTACTGGGTAATCATATGTTAATTAAATTTTAAATGTTAGATCATCAGTGCCACGGTGGCTTCTTGTGTGGTTTGGATATGTCATCAAAAAAGTTAAATGCTTAATTGGCGACCACACAATTGTATTTGGCAAGCATTTCATTCATTATGATGCAGTGCATGTTACAGACAACGGGTTTCTTTCTTTCTTTCTTTTATTATTTTTATGAGGGGAAGGTAATTTGATTGATTGATTGATTGATTTATATTTGGAGGAGGTACTGGGGATTGAACCCAGGACCTTGTGCATGCTAAGCATGTGCTCTACCATTTGAGCTATAGCCTCCCCCTGCAGACAATGGTTTTCTTATCAAGGACCGCCAGACCTTACTAGGGAACAGTCTTTGCCGTTATTTCAAATCATGTTATTTTCTAATCCAGAGTCTAGATTCTTTGGTCTAGAGAATTTCTTCCTCCATTACTCTCCCAGTAATATCAGTAGGCATTATTCTAACTCAGCTTCTAACTTCTACATTTCATATTTACTTAAAAAAATCACAGAATTTTGAAGACACAAAAAAATCTATACTTAATCTATTGATTTTTATCCATGTCTGTATGGCTGTAGAATGCTCCTTGTTATGGAACACCCAGGTTGTTTTATTTTTAAGTAAACTCAAATTGTTTTTCTACTGACAACAGTCTTTCTGGCTTGGTTTGCCCTCACATCTCTGAGTTAAATATATTTCTATATTTTCAAGTGCTACTTGGTGTTGAATTTTGATCTCAAAATCATATTGAATAGATTTCTCCATGGAGTAAACAGAAGAAACCAGGATTCTCCACTAACATCAAAGCCATGAAGTCAAAGACCCCTTATTCTTTCTTCTCCTGGACATGGGCCCGCCCTACTCAACCATTTAGAAGTTGGTGCATTGTTGCTATCTGATACAGAGCAAGAACTGACCTGTGCACGCATACACCTACCTTTGAGTGTCTCGATGTCATAGAAAGTGGCAGCAAACCTGGTGGACCGATGGGAAGTGGAGCGGGAGTCCGAGCTGGTGAGACTTTTGAGCTTCAGCCGGCATCTCCACAGCTTCCAGTCCTCGAAGTGCGTGATCTGCAGCAGTTCCTCCAAACCCGAAGCCGCCCTAATCTGCTGCTCAGACCGTTCCAACATTGACTGATATGCTCGCTTAGACCGAAACAAAAATACTAGTTGAACAGCAAGTTACTCAAGTTTGAGTTTATCTTACTAATATTCATGGGTAACACTTATAAATGTCTGTAGAGCTAAAAAGAAATTAGATTATTCAAATGTACACCAGTACCTAGGAAAAATGACATTTAGTATCTTCTATTCATATTCTGTTCATTTATGAGTAAAGGAATGATTTATTCCCTCTGGGTTCTCAGAACATCGAAAATCAATATTGTAAACAGTAAACAAAAGAAAAAGACAACCTATGGACTGGGAGAAAATATTTGTAAATGATGCGACTGACAAGGGCTTAATTTCCAAAATATACAAACAGCTCATACACCTCAATAACAAAAAAACCAACAACCCAATCCAAAAATGAGCAGAAGAACTAAACAAGCAATTCTCCAAAGAAGACATCCAGATGGCCAACAGGCATATGAAAAGATGCTCAACACCGCTAATTACTAGGGAAACACAAATCAAAACTGTAATGAGGTACCACCTCAACACTAGTCAGAATGATTATCATTAAAAAGTCCACAAATAGCAAATGGTGGAGATGGTGTGGAAAAAAGGGAGCACTCCTACACTGTTGCTGGGAATGTAAACTGATGCAGCCACTATGGAAAACAGTATAGAGGTTCCTTAAAAAACTAAAAATAGAGTTGCCATATGATCCAGCAATCCCCCTCCTGGACATATACCCAGAGAAAACTCTAATTCGAAAAGATAGATGTACCCCAATGTTCATAGCAGCACTATTCACAACACATAAGACATGGAAGCAACCTAAATGTCCACTGGAAGATGAATGGATAAAGAAGTTCTGGTATATATATATTATATATATATATATATATAAGATATACACACACATACATACATACATACATACACACAATGGAATACTACTCAGCCATAAAAAATGAAATAATGTCATTGGCAGCAACATGGATGGACCTAGAGATTATCATACTAAGCACAGTAAGACAGAGAAAGACAAACACCATATGATACCACTTATTTGTGGAATCTAAAATATGACACAAATGAACTCATTTATGAAACAGAAACAGACTCATAGACAGAAAACAAACTTATGGTTACCAAAGGGGAAAGGAGGTGGGGAGGGATAAATTAGGAGTTTGGGATTAGCAGAAACAAACTACTATATATAAAACAGATAAACCACAAGGTCCTACTGTATAGCCCAAGGAACTATACTCAATATCCTATAATAAACCATATGGAAAAAATATGTGTGTGTATATATATATATAACTGAATCACTTTACTATACACCAGAAACTATTACAATATTGTAAATCAATTATACTTCAATAATAAATAAATAAACCAACAAACAACATCACAGTGGGTTGAATGGTGGACTTTTAAATGTCCACGTCCTAACCCCCAGAACCTGTAAATATGACTTTCTTTGGGAAAAGGGTCTTTGTAGATGTAATGAAGTTAAGGATCTTGAGATGAGGTCATCCTGGATTATCCGAGGGGACCTTAAATATAAAGCCTAGCATCCTCATAAAGGACAGAAGAGGGGAAGACACAGACACAGAAGAGAAGGATTTGTGAAGACAGAGGCAGAGATCAAAGTAATGCAGCCTCAAGCCAGGGGTCGCCTGGAGCCACCAGAAGCCGAAAGATGCAAGGAATGATTCTCTCCAAGAGCCCGAGGGAGAAATGGCCCTGCTGACACCTTGATTTTGCAAGTGGATTCCAGAACTGGGAGAGAATAAATTTCTGTTGTTTGATGTCAGCAAGTTTGTGGTAATTTGGTATAGCAGCCACAGGGAACTAATAGAGATTTTTAAGTCATGCTATTTTTGTGACAGGACTCAGTGACAACTGTTTTCATCTGTTACTTGTTTGAGACGCTGACCCACAAAGTCTTGGGGACTTTGCCTATAGTCACACAAGAATGAAAGATTTTAAGACCCTGATCACCTGAACTTGCTGACTTCTAACCCTCTGAACTTTTTTTTCTTTTTATCCTGTTTACTATTTTAAAAACTTTTTTTTTCTGAAAAAATACACTTCCAGAGTTTATGTTGAAAATTTGTTTCCCACACACTTGTATGAACTGTATTGGCTGATACAATACACGAATTTGTGAGGGAAAAAAACTTGGTCAATAAAAGATTTTCAGTATGCAGATGAATTGTTCAAAATTAGAGGCCTGATTATATAAATAATGGCACATGAGTACAGTGCATACCATGCGATCATCAAAACCAGTGATGCAGACGTAGATCGGGACAGAATGAATTGAGCTCCTCCCTGGAATGTGCTGGAGAGACGATAAAGTGGTCTGTCCATGGTTGGGGACCTGGATTTTCTCCTGCTGAGCTTGTCATTACTGGACTTCGCTGTGTGCTCTGGATACGAGGGCTGAGAGCGTTTTCAGAGCCGGGGTGAGGGAGGAAAGGGCGGGAAGGAGCAGTATGGCTGCAGGATGGTCTGAGAGAGGAAAGCGGAGGGAAAGGTGAACGTCAGCTGCCTGCTGCAGGGGGCGGGACAGTGGGGGAAAACAGGTGAGCAAATGGGGCTTTTAGGAGGCTTTACATTGTGCAGCGTGATGTCTATCCTCCTTCATTGCCCCTCAAAAACTTTAGTTAAAACCTGCATCATTCATCAGTGTTTTCCGAGTGAGATTTCTTCTTTTTAGATATGCCAGTGGGTACTAAGAACTGTCCAAAAGTGGGTGCTCAGAAGAGCAAGCGTGGCTCCAGTAGTTATGATACCTCTTTTCAAATGGTTTATGTGTGTGATGTATATTATATGTATGTCCATATTAAAATTAATCATTGTTAATTAATCATATGTATAAAATTAAATTTGTACATGGAACAGACATGAAAATATAAACAATGGTTAAGTCTTCGGATCAAGGGTTGTCAAACTACAGCCACCCTGGCCGAATTCTGTCTGCTGCCTGTTTTTTTAATAAATAAAGTTTTATTGGAACACAGCCATGTCCATTCATTTATGTATTGTTTATAGCTGCTTTTACTCTACAACGGTTAAGTTGAGAAGTTGGATTGAGACCTTCACAGTAGTTTTAATCTAAGGCCACTTATCTTTTTATTTTTCAATCCTTCAATAGCCTCAGTCATATTTCTTATTATTCCATGTATTATATTGTCTCCATTCCCTCTTTTAAAATACTTATTAGACATCGACTGGAGCCTTTTAATGATCTTACATATCTTTTACATGCGCTTTCATATTTACTTATTTTTTCCCCTTCATCTTTTTTTAATGTGTTACAGGTAAACTGGTTCCTCTTCTCAATCACCAATTCTCCATTTGTATGAGTCTAGAGTTTCAGTTTTTAATTTCAATTACCATATTTCTAATTTCAAATATTTCTACTGCATTCTCCTTCCCATCTGCTTTTTGTTTCGTTTCTGTAGGTTTTTCCTAATTTGTCATTTTTATGAATATGATTCCTTTAACTCTTCGAGGATCCTAAATATACTTAAGTATTTCTTCAAACTGTTTTCTATTTTAACTTCATATACATGATTTGTATCCTGATTATTCACTTTATTGGCTATCTCAGTAATAATTACATCTGTGTGCTTTGGAATTTTGTTTCATAGTTTCATTTTCATTGGGAGATTCATGTTTCTTTCTCACCATTCTTTTGTCATCATTTAAAAGTCTATGGTTGCATCTCCTGACTCCCAGGACCCTGAATTCAGAATGGTGTTGAGTATTTATGACTCAGGGATCAGATGAGCCCAAGTCCTGGTTACAAGGAAGTATCTGCCTCTTCCTTTGCCATGAGTGAAGCAGTTTCAAAGAAGATACAGCTCCAGGCAGCAAAGAGAAGTAACCATTTCTCTTTCACTGACAAAGTGCATTCATGGAATCCAGTGCCCACTGGAGCTAAACTCTTGGTGACCTCCACCTTCCAGACTCAGAGTCTATTAGTTCTGCAGCTTCAGCTTCATGGTTTCTTTTTAAACAATTTATTTTTGAGATATTATTGACATATAACATGGTGTAAGTTTAAGGTATATAACGTGTTGATCCCTTCAGCTTCATGCTTTTGGTACCATTTCTGCAAATGTCTGCCATCTGCAGCAGTTTACCATCATTTGATGAATTTCATATTTTATCTCTTGTTGTTCTGGACTAGAAACCATCTCAAAACGTGAATTGAGAAGGTCATCTTGCTTGGAAGTCCAGATGTGAATGTGCGTGTGTACGTGCATGTGTACGTGTTTTTAATAAAGGTGGAAGAATCTTGAACATGTTTATGAGCTGAGGGAAAGAGCCAACAGAGGGGAAGAAAGGGGACATATGCAGGAGGGAAAGTGGGGACCGTAAGTTCCAGAGATAAGTAAACACTGGATGAATGAATGAGAGGGTCATCTTCTGAAACAGGAGGCTCACAGTGATGAAAGGGGTCTGTAGGTAGCAGGACTGCTTGGGACCTGTGATTTCTCACTTCGCTGAGAAGTTTGGATCAAGGCAATTTTCTGGGAGCAAGGCGGGTGGAAGAAGCTTGAAGACAGGGTTTGTGGAATAGGCATCGAATTTAAGCAGCATGCCACAGCTGCTTCATCTAAGAAAGCAGGGGATGAAATTGCATAATTGCCAATCTCTCCAGCAACTCTGAAATTCAATGATTCGCCATCAAGTATCGTTTTTCAATAGTCTCTCTTTTCATGATTATTCATCCCCTCTTCTAGTTGGACAGTGTAACTACTTCACATTCAACCCACTCTTTGAGCTAAAATTTTGTTACAACACTGCTTCCCCATGAAAATAATGAAAACAATCGAATAGCTTTTTAAATGCTTTAAAAACTGGGCGATACTGAGAGGACTTTTATTTACTGAGGCAAATTTCATTCAATACCATCCATAAATACAGACTGATAAAGGCTTCATAGTTCTTACAGGTTTCAATTCAGTCTCAGAAATATTTTTAAACTATCCAACCACGAGTGCTCAGGACAA